AGGAGGTGGGAGAAAGAGCTTTATTACTTGTGAACACAGATCAAAACAATTTTCTATGCCTATAGGGGTTTGAGAAAAAAAACAAAACAAAACATAACTTTCAATGAGATGTAATTGATGAATGATTTATGGGCTATTTGTGTAGAAGTACTAAGCATGATAAAGTCTCATCTTGATAAATCAGCTCAAATTCCACTAGTGACATAAATAAATCAGGAGCAGGCCAGTTCCATTTTAATGTTATTATTATGGTGCCTTCTGTCTGCTAATGCAAGTTTTAACATCTTCTTCACACATTAGCATGAGACAAAGATACATCTATCTCTTTGGTGAATTAATTAGCAGAGTCTGCATCCTTCATTTAACAAGCAGGACACATTTCCCCCTCCCCCCCCACCAACCCCCTCCTTTAGCCTTCAGAAGGGAATGTGTATAATATATGGAAAGGCAAACACATAACATCACGATAAAAGTGAGCCAAATTAAAATGCCAGCCCTTCTAGAAATGGAAGGTTTTTATCTCCCCTTCTGCAATACCCTCTTCTCAACCCCTGTTCCCTTCACCCCCAGCTGTGCAGGTCACCTCCCCTCCCTTGTACTGACACCAGCAAAGTAGGTTGATTCAATTTACTATTCCAGCAGAATTTAAAACAAACAAACACGGAACAAAAAAACCTCACTATTTTTGAAAGAAAGCCAGAATATCTGTGGGAATATTCAGTCAAAATAGAAAGGCACTATTATTTCAGTGCTTTAAATTGACTCTTAATGCAGTCTGATGAATGCCAAAGCCATCTCAAAGTAAGTGGAGAGAATGGTACCTCTCCCTTCTGAGAGATGCAAGTTTGGCTCATGCTGTATCTAAAACATTATCTTAAGAGTCTGGAACACATTTGTGGTCTTCGGAACCGTTAACACTATCAATTAGTCTGATTTTTAATTTCAGTTAGTCTGGTTCTAACACACGAGTTATTCTCCACGTCTTCACTGTGCTGGTCAACACTGATCTGCAGAAAGGGTTATGCATTGAATTCCTTTTAATGCCTATTAACCATTTTCAAAACGTTTACATACTAGTTGTATTAAAAAGTATCTTTAGGATGACACAAGAATTAAACATTTTTCATGACATAATGACAAGCCTTTGTCTTTTGAAAGAGAAGTGGGTCCAGGTCAGTGTGCAGACCCCAGTCTTTGCCACTTATTTCTGAGAATACGTGACTGAGATAGAGACAGACTACAGATAAAGACCAAGTACAAATGGCTTCTACAGACTCCTACAGACAATTTGGAAGAGAAAGAGGGCTGTGAAACACTAAAAATGTTCCACACACACTGTGGAATTTAGAAAACTTAACAAGTACTGGCATGCTAGCTGGAGTGGCTTTTTCTGTTTGAAGAAAATACATAAAACTTTCAACTTAAAAAAATAAGGTTCTACACACCTATGAACTATTATTTGGTATTGACTTTGCCATTGCAACTGATTTATACACAGACAACAAAGATCTGCTAAAAGCTGTATACAGCTACAATGGACAGGCACTGCAGTACACGTGGTCCCTGCTCTGCAGTTTACAAAGAGAGGAAACAGTCCATGAGATGCTCCTAAAAAAACAAAACAACCTTTTATGTAAACTGCATATTTTAGCCTCAATCTAAAACTGCTCTTTGAATTGAACACTTACCAACTTTCTATCTCTGCATTAATCAAATATGAACTGGATTAAGGAATGAGATGATGTAGTATGAAGCTTTATTCCCACATGTTTAATCTTCCCGGAGAATTTACAAATGGTTGAGGCATGACCAAGTTTTGCAGGTGTTTATATGCTTAGGTTCCTACTTGGCAATCACCACCATAGCCTTCGAGCACCTTGCAAGAGCTAAAAACAACACCATCAATCACCTTTCCTTCCTTCCTTCCTTCCTTCCAGTGGGTAGGCGTAAATTACTTACGTGATTGGGCTGGAGGGGAGGGAAACAGGAGCAGGGCAACTGAGGAAAGTTCACTGGAAGAATTTAACATTTAATGACAAATTTTCATAAACTGATGGTCATATCTGTCTTACCTCTTCTGATATGAAGTTCCTAACTGAAGATCCAGCTATATATTTGGCCTGTATTTTCTGTCTCCTATAGGCAAGTCTTCTGTGTTTATCGCACCCACACTACAATGCAACTGCTGCAGAAAGTCATAGTTATGGAAGGAGAAACATCACCTCAGACTGCTAGGGGCATGGAATAGCAGGACAGAGTCAATGCATGCAAAGGGGACCTAGTCAGCATATGGGACATCAGTGCTATGGTCTTTATAGTGACCTGGGTTGCTACGCAGGCACCCTACAGCAGGTTTGGACCAGATGGGGCTTTTCAGGATGTGATCTTGGTTCTTGCTAACAGAAGTAATCAGGCCTGGCTGTCTTAAATGCATGGATCACTGTGGCACATAGGATGAGACACAAGCTCCTAACCAGAAGCAGATGGTAACATTTATTATTGTGGCTCTTTAGCACTCACAGAACTGTGGGAGTCTGAAGAGTCTGAATGCCATAGGCTGACAGCATCTCTTGACAGTGGGGGATGTTACATAGGAGGCAAGTTCTCCCAAACACACTCTTCTGGCCAGAAATCTAGCTCAGCTTTTGCCCACTGCTGTTATTTCAGGAGTTCCCAAATAAGCAGCAATAATATTAAAATAATTTTCATTACATACTAGTTTTCTTTGGTGAGGCATGAGGAAGAAAGGATATTCTCCAATTCAGTTATGACCATTTGTTTCCTTACTGTTATGGCTAGTAACAATTTACTCTATGCTTTGTGACATAAAGACTAAGCTGCACAGGGTTTTGACTGCATATATGAACTGGGCATTCTAGTAGTTACTGCTGGCAGTCTTCCTCCCTCCTTTGCTGCTTCTCCCCAGAAAGATTTAAAACAGGAAAGATCTTATTTTATATCTGAACATAGGATAAAATGCTTGCTCTGTTTTAGAAAAGACTAAAGGTAAAATCATGAGATTCCTTTATCATATAGCCTACACATTCTTTAGTAGCTGTGGAAATCACTTAACACTTCTTTACTCAATTATAAAGAGTGTTAATCTCTTTCACCCTTGCAAAGATTTCTGTTATTATTTAATGGAAGCTATCAGTAAAAACAATGCAGTGGGAAAATACCAGGCTCAGTAGGAGTTGGCTAGCAGTAGACATAACTGAGAGAGTTACTCCCACAGTGGGTTCAGGCTAAGATATGCCAGTTATGTGTTCTTATTTTATCTTCATTGTAAACTGGAGTCTTGATTTTTCCCCCATACAGGGCTATCGAACTAATGAAGCGCATAAGGTATTTTGCGACTGATAAAGGTAAAAAGATGGTAAGGGGCAAGGAGGTGTTACTGTTCTTTTAAGCTAATTAGCAAGGGCTAATCTTTGTATCTTTAGACAAACGCTTATCCTGAGAAACGGGAAGTACTTTATACATGTAGGGGCACTGTCCCTTGTCACGGGTAGTTAGGTGGTAACCCTACTTCAGGGCACGTAAGGACCTGGACAAAGACTACCACCACGTCAGCAACAGAACAACGCACAAGCCTTGCCCCTACTGTTTCAACCACCGTTTCATGCCTCCACTCGTCCCCTCCCTAGCCATTTGCAAAGCAATGTTACTGGCTTGGTCAGCTAACTCACAATAGCAGGAGTGATAAATCCTTGAGTGTACAGCTATATTTTTTTTAAATACAGCCCAATATTTCTTGACTCATCAGGAACTGTAATAGCCATAAGCTTCCCAAGTGAATAGAATCACACCTGAGACTGATTTGGCCTCACTTTTTCCACTTGCTATAGGAGATATGGATTGAAATGAACAAGTTTAACTCCCTAACATCTGCTGAACAAATGCTCACATAAATCAGCATCCAGAATATAGTATATCTGCCACACCCGAAATAGCAATAGTCATGCAAGATGAGGACTGGGGTGAAATCCTGGACTTACTGAAGTAAACTCCCATTAATTTCAGGCAGGCCAGTATTTTAATGCAGATTGTTACCAGATGGAAGATTTTAGAGCCCAACTGACAAATGCAGTTAAAAGCAAGAAAGAATCAACTGCTGCGATAGCTGCATTAACTAATTGCATTCATATTATCAAAAACAAATGCACAAAATGAATGCATCTCCCAGCAATAACTATGACGACTCTTATTTTAAAAGTACGCCATTTCGCTTAGAAAAATCTGAAATTCTTCTAACCAATAAACAGATTCTTGCCTGAGCAAGCAGATTTTCCATAGCAAATTGACTTTTAAATGTGGAAAGATTAGATTTTTAATGAAGTCAGTCACACAATTTAATTAAATAACTAATGTTTAGTTTGAGTACTGTGCTGGAATGGAACATGCTGGCTGATCACTGCCTGAGAGCAGGATACCAATGTATAAAATAGTCAAAATGGTTTATTATTAGTTAAGGACTTCAAATGAATTAAGACCTTTTTAACCAAGTACTTTTCCTACCTGAGCAATGAAATGTATATGTTAGCTCTGATTTAGAGATTAGAGATTCAGCTGTGCTTAGAGCTTTTTCTTCTTATGTGTTGAACAGAATCCTTTCCATCAGTTGCTAGTTAACTAGCTGGATAAAAATTGGGAGTTGTGAATGCGTCAGATAATGCCGTGGTCCCATAAACCATGTTCAAACCAAACATCCTCTGATATGACAAGTCTAGAGGTAACACTACGTGTTCGTGATGAGCTTCAGTGTGGCTGTTGCTTTTTCCTTTAAGTCCTTATAAATATTGTAATATTTAAGATATTGCCACTAGGCAGTTATTAGTCTTACAGGCATCAAGACTGAGATGAATTGCTATAATTCATGCTTCTTGGTGTGATTTTTTCAGATTGCCTGTGCATTTAGGAAAATTAGTTTGCACTGGTCACATTATTATGATTCTTCTATAACCCTAGGGGAGAATTAACACACCTTTTTCCTCCTACAGGCACCATCTTCGTCCTCCAGAAGTAAGAAAACAGTTTGCTGAGGTTTTACAAGCCAACTCAGTTGGACTACTGGACAGCACGGTAAGAAGTGTTTCATCCAAAACATGATGGTTGATACTCCGTTATTTTGAAACTGTTATTATAGGTCTGTGTTTATATTCTCTCAGTGGCTCCATCTAATTTTCTCAAAAACTGAGTAAAGGGATTGTTATTTTTAAACTGCTGGCCACAAGCGCTCTCTGACATCTCAAAGGCAAGTTACGGTCTCTCACTCATACTACATCATCCACAAAGATTCTGAATTTCAACTTCAGTAAATTATCTCACGTCCAGCTCAGCTGTCCTGGCTCTGAAGCGAAGGCAGACACCAAAACATTATTACTAAAAACGCCTTGCTGGAACATCAGCGGATCAGATTCTGCCTACATACCAAGCAGCAAGAAGAATCTCGATCATACAAGGGACCTCCCTAAGATCTTTAAGATGCTTGTTGTATCAGCAGCCAATCTTTTATCCTGACACAGTGCTGTCATCAGCCATTCAGAGGGATGCTGATAAACTTCCAAATTAAAGCCTTCACTTTGCACTGTATGCAAAGGATACACTTAAGCACTGCTGCCCCTCCAAACTGTGGGTAAATACTAGTTCAGCAGTTCAGGTAGACTCCTGCTTTACGTCCCACCCCCTCGCCACTCTACTTAGTAAAGCTTCAGCCATGCACTGACTTACAAAAAAACTGCAACCCAAAACTCAATCCAGTGTTCCACAGCACAGAGTTATATGACGGCACTGAATGATAGGAATGTCATCTGAAAGATAGCAGTGTCATTAGTGCTCTCTACTGGATAAACACATAATTACTTTAAAATTAATACAACACATCTGCACATTTGCACCACTAGGGACCTAGTGGTGCAAAAATAAGTGTATTTATATTATAGGACTTGGACTGTATTTATAAAAGCTTAGGCTACTCAATGCAACTTAAACCTTACTTTGAAATAAAACAAAAGATGTACAGAACTCCTTGAAAACAAAACAGCTGAACTTGCAACTCTTGAGATCTAAAGTAGGTCAGTTAAGAGAAAAAACAGTCAAGACTAAAGAAATACTTGAGTCAGGGTAGTTTGATTCCGAAGTATTCCTTCCTGTTCTTCGCATCCTATACCAATGTGCTACTTTTGCAGATTAATTCACAGCTAACAACTGTGAAATTCAGTTTCAGAAATTTTTTGCATTTGGACCAAATCTCATCCTAAAAAGTACTAGTGCATTTAAAAGTCAAAATAATTATTTTCTTCCTCATCACTTTTTATACCCTACAAACATGGGGCAAGCTTCTCTTTGACAGTCAGACTAGTATGCTAAGGGGTGGCACTTAGTTCACTATGACTTTCACGCGGAGAAAACTGGACATATCCTATTGTTACCCCCCACACCGATGCCTATGGTTCCATCTGAAAGGAGCCATCATTTGTCACTCCCTCCAGCCAGCCCTGAGTCACCAAAACCCCACCACCATCAGAATGACTGCGCTACCCTGTGGTTCGGTATTACTTGGAGCCAAATACAGAATACTTACTTGGGCATCAGAGCGCTGATGGTTCAAGCACCTGCAGCCACAAGCCTTTGAATGAAAAAATGAATAGCGATTGGCCTTTGTGAGAACCTCTTAATAATGCAATTCCATTCAAATATATGAAGCACACCTACCCCTACGCTACTTCCTTCTACAAGTGTGCACACATATTTCTTGGCAGGGGTTCTTAACAAGGAGTTGAACAAAAAACTGTTTCTACTGTAACTGCTACATGCTCACTTTTAGTTTTTAATTGTATTTTTCTTATCCCATGTTTCAGTTGCATTCATGAATTAATCAAGTTTATTACAGTAGCATTCAAAAGCTAACCAACCAATAATGAAATACTGTTATGTACAGCCCTGTACTAAGAGGCATGCAGAGTAGGAGATAGTCTGTATCCTGAAGAGTTTAGTGTCAGAGTAAACAAGGCAGCTGCAAGGCACCTGGTGGGAAGAAGGGATGGGAAGAAGGAAGATACCACAAACTAGTGAAGCTGTAGCAGAAAACATTTCATTAATATCATGACTATTTATTCCACTGGATTTGTTTAGAGAGGGAATAAAATACAAGAGCGAGCTGCCAGATGGACAGGGCAGAAGAGACAGACAACTGGGAAGGGGAGAATTGGTGAAAACCACTACTAAACATCAGATTGCTGAAAGAGCTGTCACAGTCACTGTTTTCCCTGCTTGGTGATACTGCAATTTCTCTTACCCAGTAAGTCTCTGGCTGCATTCCTTCAGTTCTTCATGAAGGCCATTTAAAGCAGGAGAGGAGTGAAGAGAATAATCTTGCTGGGTCCTGGAGATCTCAAGGAGAAGAACATCTCTCCTGAAGAATTCTGGGGCCAGAAAGTTGCAAGGGAGAGAGCACCTACCATCCTGGCCTCATCTTCACCTGTTTCCTCCATTGTTTCATTCACCACGTGTCAACTTTCTTCTTAATAGGATACTAATTGCATTAGATTAGACTAACTTTTATTTTATGTACCTATTTACACATGCATTGGCCGGGGGGGGGGTGCGTGCACTCATGCACCAGCCTACATTTCATCCTTTAAAAAAAGAAGAAAATATTCAGCTAGAGAAATGAATTATTTGGAAAAAATTAAATAGCTATTTCCAAAAGCAATTGCTCCAGTTAAAAGACAAACCCCAAAATATTTACTTCTGTCCAAACACAGACACATTGCTTCAGTGTGGAGCTCACAAACAGAAGTCTGGGCATTAGTTTAGCCCAAGTAATAATGAAAACACAAATAGGTCACAATTATCTCTATTGAATGATTGATTCACTTTTTTCCCCCACATGGTTTTTCTTTATGTATACATGACATGTAGTTGGTGAGGTTTTGCTTCAACATCTTCTCTTTGCTCTCAAAAAGAATAGGAAATCCACAGCTTTGCATAGCCACATGCTCTGAAGCTCTTACACTTTCTCCCTCCCCCCTTTTTCTTTTTTTTTTTTTTTAAATTCTCTGGTGGTTTTCCTTTCATCAACTCCTCTCCATACCTGAGCACTCATGTCCAGCATGCGAGCTGGGGGATGTGAAACAGCTGCTACTCTAAAGCTCATCCTGGTCTCTCAGCTCAAAACATCCTTAGCACCAAAGGGGACCACCTAAGGTGCAGATGAGCCCGACTTCAGGCTTCAAAGCAACCTCATCTGATAAGCAGTTACAAACTTACTGAATGTTTATCTGAACTTGTATCCTACGCTGGTCTTACTACTTCCTCAGATTCACATCACTTATTATCCTCACACATCTTTATTCACATCAATCCCTAACTGCAAAATACAGCAGACAAACCCTCAGATACCTGATGAAACCATCCACATAGTTGCTGTTTATGCTGCAGCCCACTCCGTTCCGTAATGAATTCTGTGTGGCTGCTTCTTTCACGGTCTCATAATAGTAAACACCTCTTGCAACCCTGGGATTTTGCAGCACAGCAACCATCTAGCAGCTTCTACTGAAGCCAAAGCAATTCTTTTTTAAACTATAATTAGGTCCTCTGTTACACTAAAGCTTGATCTGTCCTCTACCTTGGCAGTTAGCAGGTTCAAGTTAGTTGAAGTAAGACTGAGACAGCTCAGGTCAGGAATAATCCTTCAGTTAGCCTGAATAGGTCTCCGGTGAAGGGAGGTTCTCACGATTTTATCCTCACACACAGTACCAAGCTTAATCCTGAGACCACATAAAGGCATCTGTTACTAATGCCAGAGGGAGGTGTGGGCAGCCAAGCAAAGGAGACTCAACTTCACAATACACATTCTAAGGGCAGCCCAAACCCTTCCCTTCCCTCCCACACAATTCACCACCCAGGAGTAATTTACAGCTTATTAACTGGCCTGATAATTGTTTGAGTTTAAGTATTCTTTTCCTTTCCACCCCTCCTCCCCCCCCACCCCCCAAAAAAGGGCTTTTTTCAGCTTGCAGCCTGAGGAAGCTGGAAAAAAGTTGAAAACAGTCTTCAAGAACCTTGTCTTTACTTACAGGAGGCCTGAACATTTCTGCGCCACAATATTTATGCTAACTGACTTCCATTTTGATTGTGAAATTCAGCTACTGCCAACACTCGATTCTCCAGACCTATTTGGCTCAACAGGGGTCACTTCTTATTTTCCATGCTTTTGTGTGTACTCTTTAAAACTGAGATATACAGATATCTCTTCTGGAGCTAGAGGGGAAACTACCAAAAAAAGGCTCTCACTGTATTTTACTAGAACACCTATCTTTCAACTCAAATGAAGGACATAGAAACTTAGATACTTTCAGATATTTTCTGAGGCGTTAAGAAATATTGTTTTATTTATGCAGCCCAACACATCTAGAGTAAACCACTCATTTGCCCTATCCTTTTGTTTTTAAAACTGATATTAAATATTAATGCCAATTTATAACAATGAATTTCAAGAAAATGCATACTACAAAAATGAACTCAAGATTTTATACTCTTTAGTTCAGTGTAACAAATACCATGAAAAACAGCAAGAAAGTTAAACAACATTCTTTTAAGGAGTCCAGCACTAAGTATTTTAATTCTATAGAGAACACTTGAGAAGGGGTGGCTCACTTGAAAAATGATACTAACCGTCAAAGCCAAGTACTAACACAGTCCTGTGTCCAGTGAGGGATACGTCTTCCCCTCAGAACTGGAATGGCTTTCGATCTCTGCAAACCACAAGGCTGACACTTCTTACATCATTTAACGCACACTGCAGGAAAACGTGGTGTAGCAAAGTTAACAGCACTTGTGTTATCAAATTTCGTAAGACTTCAGAATAAAAACAGATCCAAAACGTGGTCAAGCAGTACACTGTTTTAATGGCAATAGCCTATGTTCACTGAATAAAAGAAAACTGCTATGAACAAGTCAGTTAAGATGCTTTTCACATCAAGTTAAAACAGTTTTTAAGACTACAGCCTAGGGGATGCTCTGTGATACTATAGCTGTTAGACCAGTCATGTATCCTGTTTGCTGAATTAAATTTTTAA